TTGGCATTGGATACAAGGATATGTTCTGAAAAAGTTATGTTAATTTACTTAAGATTAAAATTATGAACATTTCAGGTTTTATTTTGTTTTTAAAGCTTTATAAAGTTGGAATATATTAATTTCAATCCAGTTTACACGTATCATGTTTGATTAAGAATTGTGCGTATGCTATGAACTGATAATCTTACTTTTTGGTTGCTAGAGAATGTATTAGAGTGCTGTACTTCAGAGGCTAGATGTTTGGTTCTTCTTAATCTCTGTCCAGACTATCAAATTTTCTTTGATAAAAAAAATGTTTAATGCCCATATATAGTCATGATGTGCCTATATATGGTCATGATATGCTGTTTCATGACCTTATTTAGGGATGTCACCTGCTTTGCAAAATAAAATATTTTAGTCTGGGCAGGGCTTCAATATTTATATATATATATAATATGATATTTATGTACTTGGAATATCACCATTCACAATCCATCCATCGAAAAAAATATAACACAGGGTTTACTCAAATTGAGAGGTTTAAACTATCAAAAATAAAAAAAGAACCTCATATTCTGAACATCAGAATATAAAATGAATTCATAATGAAACCATACACATTACATGACATTAATTATTCACAAGAATTGAAACTTGTATTCAAATTTCAAGGACATGTTCAAATCCATCCATCTATGATAAATAATCATCATTTAAGCTTTTCTTTCAAAGTATGCAATAGATAAAGTGTTTTAATATACTGGTACATGATCCCCTTCCCATATTCTGATTACAGTGATACTCAAATTCATTTTATCTCTTAGACATTGATCTTGAAGTAGTTTATATAAAGTACATTTTTAGTGTACACGTTCTCTTGAGAACAGACAGAATTTGCATTAATTTGCATCACCGCACGCCATGTAATTAAAGCCTATTGATTTTAGCGATGACGATACTCTGGCTCTATAGGGTCTTTGACATAACAAACGCCAAATTATTTTTTTTAAATGTAGTGAACCATCTCCTTTTTTACTTTCAGAGGGAACATTCCTCCATAAAATCCTACAGAAATCCAAATGTCCTCATACAGTTATTAAAGTGAGGCATGCTACCCATGTGTGTATACATTAGGGTCCGAATTAATGTTTATGTTTGGGTATGTTATGTTATTTACTGGTAGGTATCTAGTTAAAAAAGAATGTGTGCTTATTCTCGAAAATAATAAAAACCCAAGCAAGAAACATGTTTTTATTTGTATTTGGCCAAAGCATTGATATCAGATAAGGCAATTTCTTTCAATCCATGGCCAGGCTACAGTGAGACACTGCATGAATATGCACAAGTAATTTATATGTAAATTTGCCTGCATCGGCCGATGGTAATATTCAGTTATTCAGTAGGCATGACTGTAGCTTGTAATTAACTCATGCAAAATGGATGAGTGTTGTACTGAAAATGCAGGTTTGAATATGCAATAAACAGCTTTATGCAAATAACAATTTTTTCATTGCACACTAAAAAGTATCAGCAATCTACATCATCACTCCAGTGATCTACTCGCATCAATACATTCATTAGAATTTTTGTCTTGAACTTGAACGGAAAAAACTATTTAAAAACTTTGTAGGAGAAAAATTGTGATTATATGCTATGCGACAAGGTACGTAAAAACTTTAAATTTAAATTTTTAATTTTCTTTTCTTTTTTGAAAATTAAAACTTTGTGATTTTCTACCAATAGAAATTAACTTCTTTTGTTTTTTTGACAGAGCTGAGCTAATGTTTTATGTATTTTATGTTTATCAATTTTGAGTAAATGCAAGTATTATAGTGGTCCTGTATACAGTATTAAAAATGTATTCTATACTTAATTTTGTACTCGAGTTGCTACTGTAATTTTGTCAAGTGTTAATAAAATTAAAGTTAAACAATACAAAATAAAATCTTCCAGAGAACCTATAGTAACTTAGTGTAGATAGAGAATGCATGTAAACACGTACACGTACACGTACACATGGAGATATAGAAGATAATGTAGATACAAACTTATGTATTAAATTTTATTCAACCCTGTTTTTTTGTATTTCAACTTGTTAAATAAATTGCATTGTACTGCACAGTATATAAGTAATTTATAATTAGCATTTTACATGGAATTTTAATAAATATAATCATATAGAAAAATAATTTTATATTATATAGTTCTTGCTAATTTTGAATTTTTACTCATTTACAATTTTTAGTTTGTGTATTGTTTTATTTTGTTTTGTAAATTCTACAGTATGCACCGTTTTGTTTATTCTGAGTATTGCTGTCGTTCTTTCTGTGTTTCCTTGTGTTGTGTGTTTTTTTGCCTCGGTTATTGTTAAACTTCAATTTTGTATTCAAAATTGCAATAAAGAATTAATATGATTATTTGTTTACCGGAAGTGATATCTATACATTCTAAACGTTAAGAATACTATACAAACGAAAATTAGTGAGAAGGAGGGTCTAGGTGTCAAGATACCACAACACTCTTCTGTATACAAAGTGTCTAGTATTCTCATTTTGTCAGCTGTTAGTACTCTACTATGTTTAATTTATTACATATTACTGACGTATTTCGAAACAATCTAACAAGTATAGATTTCCACTATACGATGACCTGATGATGAAATCTCATGACTTGGTTCAATTACCAATTGTTGAATTAAGTATGCTTTGCTTTGGTAGAGTCGTACAGTAATAAATTATGACTACAATTTAAGTTTCATAAAATGGATATATATTTAATTTCAACCGTGGGATATGACCAGTGATATGATCTCCTGATATCATATTCCAAAATATGTTTTTTTTTTGTCCAAGAATCAGTTGACCTCTAAGATGATATGATACTAGATACAGTATTCAACTCTGTTTTACAGTCACACTTGGAGAATATAGATTATTACAGAGCCTTGACTTGATGCCATCATGTTAAGAGTAGTGTGCAATTTGTATACACACTGCTATAATATTATGTTAATTATATCAAATTATTATAAAATCATAAGATTATGAAGGTAATTTTCGTGATCAATACTTCTTGCCAGGTTTTTATATTTTGGACCCTAGCACGGCTAGACCGAGGCTTGGTGCATAGTATCTGAAGTTGGCTGTGTTCAAGTAAAAAGTTTGCAGAATGCTAGTACACTAAGCGTAGAGTATGTATGTAGGCAGCCTGCAGTATAGCCAAATCATTGTTGTCTGGAGCCAAAAAGAAAAAAAAAATTTGAATTTTCCTCTTAAATATGCTTCTGGCAATTGCATACTTTCTCAAGTTGCTCACCTGAATTTTTTTTTTTAATGGCTGAAAAATTTACCTTACATACTGTAGGTTTACTAAACTAGATACTACTGTATATACACTTACTACAATACATAATTTTACACTAGATATAATTTAAATCAAGAATATATTTAGAAGGAAAAAATCCGTCATTCTTTGTAAAGCATTATTTTCCTTTAAATATATTCCAAACGTACTCATTATTCAAGAAATTTGCTTTTGTAATTTCAAGAATTTTAATGTTTAATGAGTTATTTAAAAGTTCATTTATCAATTGTAGGGAGTATTTAATTTACAGGCTTATATGCAACCATTGTTTAAGGTTTGACCTTTGAAGGAACATAAAATATGGGGGTGGGGTATATGAGATTACTGTACTGTAATTGTCCAGTGATGAAGAAACTACGATTATTCAGATTTCTTGACTTGTTTACAATAGCCCCCTGTACAGTACTGTAGGAACTTTATAATATTGATCTTTCAGAAGTACAGTTAGAAATTTACAGTACAATACCTACTGTGCTAATAGTAGTAAAAATAATGTAAACAGAACCAAACAAGAGGGAAATTATAGGATGCTTTTATTTGAGGAAAACATGCGACATGCTTTAAATATGGTCATGATGACATCACATCATGACCATATATAGGTACCTCATGACTATATATGGGCATACAACTGGTTTTTGATAATTTGATACTGTAGTGTGGACAGATCTTTAATGCTTACCATTGACTTACATTATGGCTATGTTCTCACACGGCAGCTAATGGTTAGCAGGATCCGGATACTGCTAACCGTTAGCTGCCGTGCGTCCATGGGAGAAAATCCCAATCCAGATATCAACAATATGATGATCGAATCACTGGCCAATAAGAAACTGGAAATTGTAAACGCGTATGTGTGATTGTTTGATGATAGAAACGCCCTCAACTTGCTAACCGATAGCGCTTGCTAACCACCGTTAGCGTATCCGGATACCGCTAACGGTTAGCGCTAACCGATCGGGCATTCTCACGGAGGTGATAACGGTTAGCGCTAATGGTTAGCTCCCGATCCTGATACTAGGGCTCTCCGTGAGAACCAGGCTATCGTCGTGATTATAAATTTTTATTCTTTTAAACTGTAACATGTCCATGACTGTGTCATCGTTTGGCTCTAAAATGGTGTATAATGCATTTAGTTTTTTTATTTGAAGAATGTTTTTCCTGTTTGAGTGATTTCAGAAAGTGTTAATGCAATATACTGTAGAACCCCTATTAAGGAGACACCTTTGGGACTAAAAAAGCGTCCCTGAATAGCGGTTGGCCATAGTATTAAAACATACTCTCTCTCATTTTGTGGCAGGAAAAGTGTCCCCTTAATACTGTAGGGGTGTCCCAAAGCAGGGATTCTACTGTACTCTTTATATTAATGAAAACTTTATTTATTGTTTAATTATAACTGGAGTTGTGCTGGCTTTCCTTTTCATTTCTTGGCTTAGTTTTAAAGTTCTTTTAACACTTTGTCACTTTTTTCCTTTTCTTTCAGGCAACTTATTTTTTTGTAATAAGTTTTATTGTTTGTTTTTTTTCCCAAGCCCATTTATCATTTTTTTAAATGCAATTGAGCACTATTATAAAGATTTAATTAAAAAATTCATTAACAAGTTAATGTTAATAATAATTATTATTTATTAATGAAAATACATTTTTACTTTCAGATATGAGTACAGATGCTACTCAAGCTGATGGGCCTATTCCACTGAAGTTGGATCTAGCTGGTATGTTTACTGAATCTAAATACATTATGCCCTTGACTTTAGCCCTAGAGCAGCCCATCATAATCTTCTTGGCACCCTTTTGGTTCCTCTCAGGCTTTTGCACTTTAATATTGGTTCCATTTTTAAAATTAATTAATTGAATGAATAAATAAATTAATAATAAATGAATGATAATAAAATAATGGATATACTCAGGGCGGGGAAAAAGTGCATGTTCGCACGACTGGTGGTCGGAGGTCATGAATGTCCCGGAAGCATTTTGGGGGTGGGGGGAGATTGACAGGGTTTAATATTGTGTACAGATAACATTTGGTGCTGGAGGCAATTTATCAAAACAATTTTCATGGTCGGAGGCACAAACATTTTTTTTTCTAGGCCTGTTATAATACTAGATAGATCTTATTCTTTAATTTTATCTTTTGAAATAGGAAAGCCAGCTGTAAATGATGTCCATAGCCAACAGGTAACAGTAAGTAGATGAGATATTTATGATAAACATTGATTAAATAATTTAAGAAAGTATACACTTTGGTAAAACTAATCACTGTCCAAACACTTCTATCCATTGTTGTTCTCAAACAATGAAACAAAAAATATTATCCGACTGCTAAAAACAACCATTGAAACATAACTTGTCTTAGATCGTATCATGTGACTTACCTGCATTTTAGAACATGGGGAAATGAGCACACTGCTTGTGTCCTTGGGCAAGACACTTTATTTGTGTACACTTTCTCTCCATCCAATGTTATAAATACAGTGCACCCTCTAATTTGAGACCATTTTTGGAACTTGAAAGTTATAGGTGGTTTCGTGGTTTGGTCTCCATTTAGAGGTAAAAATTGTTGGTACTCTGAAAAAAGTGGTCTTGAATTAGAGGGGTCTTGGAATAGTGGAGAATAAACTGACGTAGGATTAATATTAACTACCTGTGCCTTGAATAGGTTTCTATGTCACAGGTAGTTTATGAATGTTTAATATAAATTAATAAAGAAAATGCTAAGATAATTTTGTTGATGGTTGTTGTTTCAGACACAAGCCCACCAACAACAAGTACTGATGCAGGGTATCACTGTACTGCCCCAGACGGCAGCCACTATAGTAACCAACGGAAGCCAGGTGACTGGTTCGCTCCAGATGGAAGTCAAAGATGAGACACAACCTGCACAAAGCTCAACTGTATGTTTTGTATTGTTTTGTTTTATTTTATCAAACTCTGAACCTAATGCTTAATAGGGCTTCTATAAATAAGTTAGATTTTAAAAAGAAATTCCAATTAATTTTTGGTCATTTTTTTAGTAATAATAACTTTCAAGGCTATTGGAGACATGATCAAATGCAAGAAATTGAACCAATATCAGTTGTACCTGGCGTAATCACCGATGCATGTAATCATTTGTTTTTGCTCATACTCATTTAATAGAAAATAAATTTACCACTAGGCCCCAGGATTGGGTGGCATCTACATTACTGGCTCTTAATTCAAATTAAAACTAATTTTGTATTCAATGTTTAAATATTCAAAACCAACCAGGTATAAAAATATTTTACTGGAAAGCATAATGATATGATGGAGTTTAAAATTTATTAATAAACGGGTATTTTTTTTTTTGTATTATGAAAAGCTAATTGATATTTTTCACAGGTTGAAACAATTGCAGTGACACAGGCTCAGGTACAAGGGCAGACCCAGCCTCAGGCACTCCCAATACAGACACAGACCGTGGTACAGGCACAGCCAATGCTCCAATCCCAGCTTCATGCCCAGCCCATATTACAAGCCATCCAGCAGGCCACCGGCACTCCGCTAGCCCTCACCCAGGCCGCTCTTACACAACAGCAACTGCAGTTATTACAGCAACAGGCCAATGCTGCCGCTCAAGTACAAGTTGTCCGGGTAAGTGCTCAAATGTTATATGGACTCAATTTACTCCAGGTACCATGAATTAAATAGGCTGTGCGCTAGCTTCCTGTTTTCTGTTTTGTATCCCTTTTGTGTTACCTATCTGAGCCTGAATTTATTCTGCTCTTGTTGTCTAAATCTTATTATATTTCCTGGTTAGAAGACTAATGCAAGACAAAAAAAAGCTTTGGATTTTCGGAACGATTTTAAAACAAAATGAACAAGAACAAAAAGCCAGAGGGAAAAAATATCAGAAAATATATTTTGAAATTAGTAATGGGAATAGACTATTATGTATGAGTTGTTTTAATAATTTAATGTAAGGGCGGGGTTATTTTTAAATAGATAAGGATTGGTTATATTAGTGATGAGAATTAGAAGAGAAAGGGGCATTGGCTGTGTCTTAATACAGGATGGAAAGAATTCTGTGATGCATTATCATTTATAAGCCTTAATTAGTGAGTTTCTTACAGGAATTTAACCCAGAATCCTGGATCGAAGGCAAGCACCACCTACAGAAAATATCTAACACAAAATAATTAACTTTTAATACTAACATATTATGAAACCCAATCAAGTTAAAATAGATGTACAATGTATGTTTAAAGTTAGCAACATAATTAAAATTATTGTAGCAATAATCAGACTCGTTACTGAAATTTTCCATACTGTTTCACCATTCATTAACATGTGTATTAATACAATGGGGTGTTTTTACACAAATATATTGTTCATATAACAGACTATCAGTTAACATTTTAAGAACATCTATTATAAACTATCTGATCATTATTCAATGAGTAATTGAATAGTTTATTGTATTTTTTAAGGTTCTTTCCTTGTTTGACTACACACTGTATCTGTACTTTGATTTTATAAATGATAAACTAACAACATGCACATTAAAAGTAAATTTTAATCACGATTTTAATCATTCTATATTGTTTCATATTATAATACATTCTTTTTTTTAACACTATTTTTAATATCCACTTAGTCCACTCTTCCTTCATTTTCCACTACCATTCATTATCTGTGTTTCACTTTTCATTCTTACAATCCATGTGATCTATTCCCTAGGCTCCGGCAGCCCAGCAGTTGCAGCTTCTGCAACAGCAAGCTGTGGCCGCAGCGGCCACACAGACACAGGTGCAGGTGGTCAGGGTGAGCTCCATTTCATCAATTCCTTTCTTCCTCGTTTCTCTTGTTGCCTGTATTTTCCAAGCTCTTCTGTGTTGGTTTGACATTCTCACGAGTTGATGGAATAATTACAGTAATCCATCTGTGGCCTGTTAAAAACATAAACATCCTGTCATTGGCTGTGATATAGTGTACATCCATTGGCGGAGCCAGGATTTGCCATACATTTGAAGGGCTAACAGTGCCTAACATGGGGTTGGGTATTTCTCTGTGGAGACCGGTGGGATATATGAGAGAAGCACTGGGAGACCCAGTAGAGGGGAATAGGCCCGGACACCTAAAAAAAACCTGGGCAAGTTTGTGCCATTTTAAGCTGTCCTGAGATGTGCTGGCTGGTACAATTCCCCCAAAAATGTTTTAATGAAATTGTTTTCCTTTCATTTTGATGAGTCATCGCTTACACTGTCCGAAGTCCTGCATAAGTCACTGTGCATAACAGATCTAGGCCGTCAACTCGAGAAAATGTCATTGTAACATACCAATGCCTATTCCCCTACTAATTCAATTCTAGTTTTTATGAGATACTATATTACTAGTGCATTGAGTTTGTTGTGAGTTTTACTTACTGCAAACAGAAAACAAAGTCACGGTATGTTTGTATATCTTAACATTGTATTTATGAATGCAGTCAATAATATATTTTATACAATGACCTGATGAATCAGATGTGGTAAGTATACTGATGATAGGTCAATCAATCTGTTTACTGTATTGCTTCTCAAATATTTGTGCAGTGCAGTGTAATGGTGAATTGAGAAGGCATTTGTGTGTTCATGTGAAGCTTGTTTATAATGAGTTCTGTTGTCAATTTTGAATAAAGCTCAGAGCAAAACTGTATATTTGCATGGCAGATGACAGTGATTACTCGCATGGTGTGGCATTTGCAAACAGTCGAGAGGTGAAGGGAGTTGAAGTTTTTATCAGAAAAATATTTCTATAAAATAAATTCTGAAAGTATGTTCCTACGCTACTCCCCATCCATCAATGACAGTGGCAGAATCCAGGAATTCAAAATAGAGGGGGCACAGGCAAGGACTTTTACAGGAAGGGGGTCTAGACCACCTCAGCCCCACCATGGTTGGAACTGAGGTAAAAAAAAGTTATGATTTTGCCAGATATGGCACTCTTGGACCTAAATTTAAATATAATTTTTCTCTTTTTCTCCTTTTTACTATAATTTTTAAAAATTTAGGGGAGAAGGATGGGCTGGCTGTGCCCGCCCCCCCCCTGCCACTGAAAGCGAAATGGAAATTACATTATCATTGAACTTTCTTATTTGAGGCTAGTCCTCTGAGTTTAAGACGCACATTCTTCTTAATTAACTTTTCACACATGGCTCCTACAGTATGTTATCATATGTTTTTTTTCTCATGCACTAACCCCGATTGTTTCATCATAATAAATTCAAAAATGTTCAATAGACTACTAAACCAATAAAAATGATAATTCCATACTGGTATACAACCTTTATGATGATTGGTTGGTTTCAATAGATTAGAATATTCATTCAAATTCTATATCAACCAATTTTATGATGCTATTTTCTAATAAGATGTAAAAATCATGAAGCCGCTTGACTCCGTTTTTCACCTGCAAGACCAACTATTTTTACATTTTATTTTCAATTTTTTATATTTATTCTTTTAAATTTCTATATTTTATGTAAACAAATTTAAACAACTAATCATCATTTTTTGTTTCGTACAGTAATTTTTTGTTTTTGATTGTATGGAAACCAAGCTTCAGTATGCTTAGTGTACATTTTAACTTGGGACTAGTGCACACTCCCCTGCTGAACTACTTAAGTTCATTTTAGCAATAAAGGGCTGTAAAGGTAGATTCACACCCAATCCGAATTCGGTTCGTAGAACATTTTCGATGCGCAACTTAGTACGCGCCTCTATTCTTTACCACTGATTAAATATTCTTTTTTCGTTTCATTAGCCATACGGACCGAATTCGGCTTTGGTGTGAATGCAGCTTTACACCCCTTAGTCTCCAAGCTTTTATGAACCTTTAATTGCCCATTGCATATTCTTTATGTTTTACACTTGTATGTTGTACCCTATCTATGCTAGACTTTGTGTTACATATTGCTGCCTACTGGTTTACATTAGCATTATGTGTGTGTTTTTTTTTTTGTAGTTATACTTTATGTACTAACTGTGTCAGTTGATTAACCACATGGTTCCATTAGCAAAGAATCTGATTGAAAAGAACTTGCTTGAATGACATCAATACTACTAAACAGCCAATCATTCAGTGGCATATCTAGGAGTCTTGAAATGGGGGAGGCCTGATGGGGGCAGAATGTGAAGTGGGGGAGGGCTCGATGATTAAGTGAGGGGGGAAACTAGCTCGCAAAATAAGTTGATATCAGGTGATTTTTTTTTTTGCTTCCATGCCCCATGCCCTCCCTTACCGCAATCATTATTGATTGTACCTGGCAGAAGTTATTATTTCTAAAAAAAAAAAATTCTGAAAGAAATCTAGAATTCCTAAATATCTAACATTTCTTCATGTTAGTGAACTTATATAGAATAAACCATTAAATCAAGAACCTGTAATTTCTGAAATCTATATGAAATTTCTTTCATTACTATGATGAACATTATTTATATTTTTTACAGATGTGTCTTTTGAATTTTATGGAAATATATGTGACTAATGCTATTTTTTAAACATGCTTGCTTTGGGCAAGGTTGCATTATGCAAATGTTCTGTATGAATTATTGATGTAAGCATGCTCTTTACTGTAACCTCATATTCCAAAGCCATCTCATGCATATATGCATAAATCCTATGAATAAATGTGCATATTTTTTCCTGTGGTTTGTGCCAGATCACCTATCTAGCAAAATGAAGTTATTCATTTTCATTTTTAGACAACTAGAATACTACCTTCTCCTGCCCCCTATTTTTTCTTGTAATTTTAAGCTCTCTTTCGCATTTATGAATAATAATTTATAAACTTGTTAATTTAATTCACAAATTGAAGGGGATATGCTGTTCTAGTGAATTATTCTATTTTGGTATAGTATCCTGTGAATAGATTGATTCCCGAATTGTGTTATTTGGGTTATTTCTACACATATTTAATTAAGATGCGTTTTAATGGAGTAACTGTAGAGTGTTTTGTTTTGTGTTTGTGTAAGTATAATAGAATCAATTATGCTTCTTCGACTGACATTTTAACTTTCCACTTAAGAAAATATGCTCATATAATGAAATATTCATTTTCAATTACTTAAGTACTCAATTTACAAGGTGAATTTATTTTCAATAACCTAAATACTCAATTTACAAGGTGGCTATTTTCATCAGCCATAATTTTTCCAATTTATTTATTGATACATTTTTTTCAGGATTGTTTATATGTATATAAAAGTAATTAATATTGACTTCTTCGTCAGCAACATACTTAGAGACCTTTGAAAAACAAATATTCTACCAGCTTATATAGGAACAGTGTCCAGTTTGTATCATTGCTAAAATTGTTTTTTGAACTCTGAAACAAACATTTTATGTGTATACAAGTCTGCGGGACCAATCATTGCTCTTTGATCCTTTGGCTGTTTTCTGAGTGTGGGGTATGTAGGGGTGGCCTGGGGTGTGTACGCCACTGGCAACTATATAAAGAATGCATTACTGATATATAGGTTTGTATATACTTCTATATACACAGCAGCCTCTAGCAGACCTCACCAAGATGTGGCCCAATACTGAACCTCATCACCAGCAGCATCATCATCATTCCAACCTCCAAGACAGCTCCCCAATTAAGGTCTTATGTTTACTTCTAGTTTTTCCCACACCCATGCACTAATGTCTGTAATAACATACTGTTTTAAGTGTGTAACAGTATGTGTGTCTAAAACAAGTTGGATCATATGATTTATTTTATATTTGTATCCTAAATTTATTTTTCTTTTAATACGATGATAATGATAACATTGGTTACGATAATGAGAATGATAAAACAACAAGAACAACCAAGAAGAAAATGAAGATTATAATCATATTTGTTACAGTCTGCCATAAATATTGTTATCATTATCATTTATTTTATTTCATAACTATTTAATTATTGTTTTCTAATTAAATATATTAAATATCTGTATTACCATTTAAATATATCGTCTGTGTTGAGTTTATAATTTTTTAGTTCACTACAGACAGTATGTCCTAAAAACAGTGGTCTAACTGTGAGTTCTCGCTTCAGCGGATGGGGAATTTGCCCATGTACCCTAGTCCCCAAGTACATTAGTAGGGCTGTAAAGAATTCTTACTCAGGGGCATCATCCCTCTTCGTTATGCCACTGCTTAAAAACAATTTGGCTTTTTAATCTCATTATCTTATTTAAATCACTTTCATATTCTTATTAATATTGTTTTAATGTTAACATTTTTTATTTCTAATATTGATAGATATCATTGTCATTTACCGTAAAATTTCAAAATGAAGCCTGGCCTGCTTTTTTTTTTTTTTTTTCTCCGACCTTTGGATGGGGTTGGTTTCAAGATGGGCTTCTCTTGGAGATGGGCTTCTCTTCGAGGCTACTTTTGCAAAGTGAAGAGGGGGCTTCAATTCGAGATGGGCTTCTTTTTGAGATTAAGCCCATTTGGCTTCTATTTGAGGTTTTACGGTAGGTGATTACGGTATTATTACTAGTTTTATAGTACCATTACTCCATGTTTGTCACAATGATTAGAATAAGATCATTGTTATCTCTACAGTGTATCATATTTTTACTTTTAATTTAAACCATGTTTTGTGAATGCAAAAACATATTCAAAAGCCAATTAAAAAAGCTGCTTTTCCATTGCCAGCACAGAATATTTAAGTTTTTTGTATTTAAGTTTCCATTCCATCAATCTTCACTCTCTGTAAATTAAATGTTATTTATTTTTCTTGCTTTTTTTTTGTTTTTTAACTGCAGTTCTTAAGCTTCATAAATCCCCGTCTGACTACCAAATTTTATTTGACACAAAACTGTTGTATGCCCATATATAGTAATGATATACCTATATTTGGTCATGATATGATGTCATCATGACCATATTTAGGCATGTGATAGTCAGGCCAGGGCTTAGTGACATGGTTTATAAACATCAAACATGCAACCCAAAATAATCAGCTTTGATGGATGCATCACTCTTGCTGAATATGTTTTTTGTTTTTTTACTTTTAATGTCATCACAAACTTCCCATTATCAATAAAAAATTTAGGAAATTTAATAGATTTTGAGATTTTATTATTTAATAATTATTGGTAAAACAAATTATTTTAAAATGATATTTTTCAGTGGTTGCATTTGCTAATATAACTTTTATTGATATGTTTTTGCAATAGAAGCTTTTTTAATAATGAAATTTGAAATATGAATGACATATTTCCAGTACTTGGTAATGGCAACCACTTACTAATATTGCTCTCTCTGATATTATATTAAAATTGGAAAAATTAATTGGAAGAATATGTATTTTAATAAAAACATTGATTCAATGTGGTAGCATTTCAAGGACAATATTCATTTAGTGGGGGAAAATATTCCTTAATAAATGTTTAGTATAATATCTTGAAACTAAACCTTTCTCTTCAAATTGTTTCCATTTTTTTAGAATAATAATAGTACTAATGTATACCACATGAGATTTTACATATGTATTTATTCAAGGTTTTTGATATTTGTTTCCATATTTTTTACAATTGTCTAGTAGATTGATTTGGAACAATATTAAGAATGTAATTGAACTGGATAGAGGTCTTTTTGTTCAATGAGAGATACTGGATACTGCTTAAATTTTCTTGCATTTCATAAGTAGACTTACTGTAGTGAAACATTGTGTTTTATATAGTTTACCTTGTGCCATTTCCTGGCAGTTAACTAGAATATAACACTCCAAATCCCTCTCCCCATTTCTTGTCTTCTAATTATTTGCACTTACAAACTCCTTCAAAACTTTCAAAAATTTACATATTGTAAGAAGATGAATACACAATGATTAATGCAGCGGAAACAGATGGCGTGTAGTGAATACAAATATCATTGCTGCGGCGTCCGATGGGCATATGCAACAGATTTTAAACTAGTTATGAATATATGCATAGTGCTCACTTACTCTTGTGTATAGAGTTCTTATTCTATAGATGCAATGTAATAGAAGATAGCTAATAAGATATGCTAAATGTTTAAAGTAGTAGAAGCGGTTGGACTCCCAACCTTGAGGTCGGGTGTTTGAAACTCGCTGTGGAAGTCGCTTGTGTCCTTGGGCAAGGCACTTTATCTACATTTGTCTATGTATATACATATTTGGGTATTATTATTATTATTATTATTATTATTAAAGTGATGAGAGAATAAAAGGATGTAGGAATGTAGAACTACAGATTGTTTTTACTAATTCTTTTTCTCATAACCTAGGTTGTCTTAAGTGCAAATTATTACTGCTCTTTAGGGCCTTCCACCTATAGAATTGTTTTTGGCAGTAGGTGGGGGCGTGAAGGTTTACTGTACGCTGTCAATCCCTTTACACTATGTGACGTCTTGTGTCCTAGATACTAGCATAGTCGCACAATCAAACCCTCCCTATTACCATAATCGGAATAGATAAAATGTATTAATCTTATTGCAATGTCATATGTAATTTATCAAGTGCTGATTCAATAATCAATAATAGTTATTACAAGGATAATCATAGTGAAGTATAATGATATATTTATGATGAAATTAGCATAAGTGATTGACAGACAAAGCGAATAATTAGGCCGGATGAAAACAATAACATATTGCATTAAAGGTGTAAATGTACTGAATTTTTATTAGTTTCTTTAAATTTATGTATCAAATTTTTTTAGCACATCATATTGAGCATTTACTGATGAAAACATTAAACTAATGTAATTTTGTTTACACAGTAAAAAAATTCAACATACATCTGAAATTATATACATTTGTAAAATATATATATATATATTATGTACTTAGTTATTTCTGTGGAAGACTATTTTGTGCCCTGTATAGTAAGTTCTAAGGAGGGCAGAATAAAAAATCTATAAATAAACTTTTGTATTCTTACTTAATTTAGTAAAATGGTTCTATCAAAATTATCTAGATGAGGGAGAAAGAGAATTTTGTTGACAATAACGGGACCATTAACCTTTTGTTCACGATCACATTACCTAAAGGTTTAAAGAATGTGATCTGGTGATGTAAACAGTTCAGTAGTTGGAATGATAAATGCTTTAAATTTAATTAGTTTTTAAGATATATCATGGCGGTGGCTGGTGAATAAGAATTTTCTGTAATTCTAAATTTTTCACATTAGTGGTTCACTAACAAGGCCAAAATTTTGATATATTTTTTTCAAAATAATCATTGGGCAGTGGGTTAGAGAAACTTTATCTGCCTTGCTTCTTTCCACTTGGGAGTTAAATAAGTATCTGGTACTGTAGAATAGGGAAGTAGTGTTTCGCAGTTAAATGCTGTATGACTGGAGTAAGCCCCAGGGGTGTGTAGAAGGTTGTGTCTGGTGCATGATTGTCTACGAATCAAACAACTTGGGAATTGTAGCGCTCTGAGGCTTTGTGCTAGGGCTCTATGTAACATGAATTATGGTAATTTTCTCTGCTATCATGTTATTTTTAGGTATGGTTATCTACAGTAGGAGTTTTTTCCCGTTTATTTATAGATATACTATAATTAGTAGTATAACCTGAAAAAATACTAAAAATTAATTTAATTAAATTATTCGTGCATTAATGAAATAAGTTATTAAATTTTGTTGAGACAGGACATTAAAATAATTCAGTTTTTCTTTTATATACAGAACTTTTCTACAAAAATCTTTAAATTAATTAACAGATAATTTAAGGTTGTTGTGTAAATTTCTGTATTTTATTATTATTATTATTATTATTATTATTATTATTATTATTATTATTATTATTATTATTATTATTATTATCTATGCATAGAGCATATAGAAAAGGTATTAAATGGTATATATTTCCTCATTTTAATATCCATTGAAAATTAATATTTACTTTAATATATATTAACATAAAAAGTGTTTTATTTTTATTACCTTAACACTGTATATTTTACGTGCTTGTGTTAAATTCTATTTATTCTCAAGTTATAGATGGCAAATATGAATAAGTGCAAATCAGAAAGTATTGTAGGCCTACATCAACCCTTTTCTAAGTATTTGTTCTCTTTCATAATGAAAGTAATAGTGATTGACGTAATTGGAGACACTGGTTTGATACTTAGTATTGTTTAAGTACACATGAAGTAATCATAAAGGCTTGAGTTATTTTTCTTGGCAGCCAAAAACTACACTTTATAATAATAATCAAGAGCATGTAGACCATAAACTGGTACATGTTTATCTTCATTCAGAAAACAATGCATTTTTGACATGTGCATTTTCTTTCCACTATTGTGCAATATTAAAACTAATCATGGCCTAATTGACTAAACAGATAAACCACATAGATTGGTTGATGTGTTTATAGGGTAATAATAAGTATACTGGTAATTTATTCAGAATTGACACGTTAACTTGCTTGAGTATTGGAATATGTTACATAACGACATTGTAAGTTTATTTTGTCTTGAGATTTTATAACAAAATTAAAGAGATTGGTTTTGCATTGCTCAGCCCTGATTATCTTTGCAGTAAGTTCTGTTCTGTTGAAATATCTCTTCCTGTTTGCAAAGTTATCAACAGATTGTATGTGGTGGGCAATCTACGTAAAACAACTCTTTCAAAAACCATAGCAATCTGAAATGTGACTCATGTATTATTTGTTTAAGATAGATTTGTTATTAATTTATTATTATTGTGGTTGATGTTTAAATCTGGATTTTGGAACACCCCTAAAAAATATTTTAAAATTAAGCAGTTTTAATATTTATTTTATTTATCATGTTTATTTTTAGTTTAGCACAATCTTTAATAACAAATATAATATGTATTATTTATAATATTATATAACATTTTAAGGACTATTAGGCCTACTGTATTCTATATTGTATTCAAGCCAATTATATTATTATTTATTGTTTTTATTATTGTTTTCTAACATTTTCTGTTGCCAGTGGTTCACGTCATGTGTTGGGATTGTATCTCCTTATTTCCACTGAGACATGCCACTGTCAAAAAATTAAATGATATTGTAAATAATGTTTGTGTCAAATTATTAATTAATAAATAACAACACCATTATTGTGAGTACTATGTTTTAGTTGTAATATTGTGTACTACAGTATATGATAGTGTGTTCAGAAAACAACATGAGATATAACCCACTTTACTTGTTTGATTTTATTTGTTCATGCTATGGTTAATATGTTTTTATCATCATTATAATCCTTGACTGTAATGTTATCATCGATTATTATTTTTTGAAATGTTGAAATTTTTTAATGGCTGCTATTTTTCTTGTTCTTGAAAGTGTTGTGTTAATAATCTATGACATGAGCCATCTTAACATTCATGTGTTTTCTCTTGATATAATGTTTAATGTTTTTAAAATGTATACAAATTTAATATAATTTATAGTCCTGTTAAAATACAATACAAGTAACTACTTCTTATTTGTCTCACAGATGTTAGGCCAACAAGTGCCTATGGCAGGTGCGCAGGTACAGCAGTTTACAGCCTCGGACCTACAACAATTACAACAGCTGCAGCAGCAAAACCCAGGCCTACAGCAGTTTGTGTTTCTCCAGACGCCAGGACAGGTAAGGTTGCCAAAGAGTGAGCAGCTTAGCTCAGTCGTACTGGTAGTACAAGTCTGTGTGTGTGCTCAACTGTGGAGAGCCTTTCCAGTAGTTGGTCCCTGGTTCAGTTCTTGGAAGACACATTTAAGCCATTGGTTTCCATGTTTTTATGTCCCAGACATATGTAACAGAAAACAGTACACTTTTTTTTTTAAAAAGGGCAGTAGATTGTGTTCAGGTGTACTACCTAATTTCCCACCTAAAGGACTCCCGAAAAGAAGTCTTCTGACTTCTGTGGGTTATCTTATGCGTGAAATTCCAATCCAAATGGTCAACTTAGCTGAGTGAATCAGTCTGATTAAATTACTTACAGTAGTATGCTTGCAGTTATTTTGAATAACTTACTTGATTTAAAAAAACTTTTATTACATGCCAGGTTGTCATAGTTTTTTTGTTGCTTTGCCCTGCATACAGTGTGATTGGTTGAAATCATGTAGCTTTATTCATTGATTGTGTTAAGTTCCTTCCCAATACAGTGCCTTCCCTATCATTGTCACAACCTGTAGAATACATTGTATGCTGTGTTGTTCATTCAAACCCCTGCTTTTCCATAGCAAAATATAGGAAAGTAAACAAAAACAATTTTTTTAAATATAAATTTAACATAAATGCATTGTATGCTATTCTAAACTTGATACTAACTTAATGGTGGTGCCAAAACTGAATATGATTATGATCAGGATAAGGAAGTCAAAATATTTTATTATGGTGGCGATGATGACAGTGACAATGATGACAATGTAGTAATTGATAATGATGACAATAATGCCAACAGTGATAATGGCAACAAACTTTCAACAATGTTAATAACGATGATTATGACAATAATTATAACAATTAGTGTTGTTATGTTGATTATGATAATGTGATGACAATAATGATTATAAATGATAATGGCATGATGCTGATTATAATATAATATGATATACAGTAATGTGTAAAGAATACATTTACATAACCAAAGGTAAAACTTATTAATGGTTTACCCGGCTTAGCCTGGAAAATGATTCAAATTTATTACTTGGAATTTAAACATTTATTATCCCTATGTGTTACAATTAATAACTTAATGAATATTAAAAATTATTTATTAATCAGTTCTAATAAACTAGTTCAATAACAATTTTACTACTAATATACTAATTAATGCATGAATGCAATTTAAATTCATATTAAACTAACATATTTAGTTCAATTCCACACAGAACTATTGTTATATATTTATTTAATATTTAATTCAGTAATCATTAGATATTAAGACTGTAAATTTTGCATGAGTCCACACTATTCATAAGGCTGATCACCACTGGCTGTGTTTCCTGCCTGATTCCATGTATTGACCAATCATATGCATGCTTTATTTGATAACTTTAGATGCCTGCCAACATGCAACAGCAACTGTTACTACAGCAACAAGCTCAGCAACAGAGCTTGCTTCAACAAACGCAGGCGGGCATGCTTCAACAGGTACATATTAATGTTTTATGATAAGCTTTGCACATAAACATGCTTTTTATTACTTTTATTAATTATAATTTGAAGAAGTAAATTTCTACAAAAGATGTACAAGAGCTGTAACTTAGTGGCTGAGGTACTTGCTTTCAGATCTTAGTGTGCAGAATTAAAGTGGAAGGATTTTTTCTCACTACCAAAATCACCTTCATTTTCCAAAACTCATAACAACATTTTCTGTTTATTTAGAACAACTTTTGTATGTTTGTCTTGTCTCAAATACAAACTTTTAAACAATTAAGCAATTATACCTAAAAGCCAAGCGCCGGAGAAAAAAAATGTTGATATGTTATAGAACTGATTTTTCTGAGGCACAAAAAGGGTGTGTGACAAAAAACTGGCGGAAAAGGAGTGTAACCACCCCTTTTTTCATCTTTTCCCCCATTTTTTAAATATTCAAAAATCTGTATCTTATTTATCGTCTTCAAGTTTTTTGTCAAAGAACCTTTTTGTGTTTTAGAAAAATCAGTTGTACAGCATATAAATTTTTTTTTTTTCCGGAGCCTTACTTAAATTCAATGCTTGATGTTTTAGCTTTTTCTTGGACCAAGGTCTACAGCGCAAAGAGGCAAGAACATCAGCACTTTGTCAAATGCTTAGTTTAAGTCCATTCTATGAATGTTTGAACCTACAACCAATGAAATTCCATATAACAATATTGTAACATTGCTGAGACCCTTTGATTTACACCAACAGTTTTAATAAAATATTTTGCCAAGGTGTTTTAATGGTGGCATAGGAGGAACATGATCGTGCAGGAGCATTTACTAAACTCTAACAATTAAAGTTAACGTCTGCAATTAAAATAACTATGTAGCTTGATTGCACTTCATTGATTGATGTTTAGCTTTTTGCTTGCACAACTCTATTCTGAATGCTTCTAAAATTCCTGTCTGCGGCACCAGTGACATTGCGATTATCACCATTGTAGCTGTTGTAGGAATATCATCACCATCATTGCTGTTGTTACAGATAACAATATTGTCATCTTTATCACCATAATCGCAATTGGCAATCATAGTCCTGGTTGTCATCTTTTCCATTGTCACTACCTCTGATATTATAAATTTTATTATCACCACAATCATTGTTAACAAAATTGTCACTAATTACTTCATAAGCACCATTATCATCACCGATAAATAATTTTCATTATTATTGTTATAATTTTCTGATACTGTAGTTCACTCATTTTAGCTCTAATTAGATTTCATAATATTCTTAATAGTAAAATTTATATACAGTCACCAGTTAGTAATACTAATTATTGATTTGTGTATTTCTGTAGTTTATGCACTAATTACATATATAGTATTATCTCTTATTGTTGTTATTATTACTACTAATTATATAACTATTGTTATATCCACTAATTATAAATTATCATCATTGTTATATTTTTACTACTTAATTTATCTGCTACCCTTATCCATTTTCAGTACAGTATAATTTTTAATGCAATGCACAGGTTGGTTTTACTTCATTTGGTTTCAGATCGCCATACTCGTCTGTCCTGAGCCAACTCCCATCTCAATAAAACAATTTGCTCTAGTCACTTTAGATCATGCTATCCCTTGTTTTATAAACCAGCAAACTGATATTTCTAAAATTACTAAATATTTTGTTGCATATTTTATTTTTCAGTTAACTGCTGGCCAGGCAAATTTATTGCAGGGTCAAACAATAATCGGTGGTCAGTCCATCATACCAACAGCAACGCTAGCCACAGGTACCACACCAACAACAGGCTCAGCAACAATAGTGACACCAGCAATACAGCCACCTGCAATAATACAACAACAGCAGCAGCAGCAGCAACAACAGCAACATGTGCCGGTGCAAGCTAAACCCCCTACCATTAGTGAGGAGCCAACAGATCTAGAGGAGCTGGAACAGTTTGCACGAGAGTTTAAACAGAGAAGGATCAAGTTGGGTTTTACCCAGGTATGCTAAATAATATTAATAATAGTATTTTGTTTTTGTTTGTGACCTCTGACATCAAAGTAAGACAATTTCCTTGCTTCATCTGTAAGATTTTAGTCAATAATCATTAGATATGATACCTGCATTTTATGTTTTTTAGGGTGATGTTGGATTAGCAATGGGAAAGCTATATGGCAACGACTTCAGCCAAACAACCATCTCAAGATTTGAAGCACTCAATTTAAGTTTTAAAAACATGTGCAAGTTAAAACCGTTGCTACAAAAATGGTTGGAGGACGCTGATTCAACTGTCGCAAACCCTGCTCTTCTTGGCTCTCCTCACAGTACACCGGATGGTCTGGGTAGGAGACGCAAAAAGCGCACAAGTATTGAAACTAATGTACGTGTAGCTCTTGAGAAAAGTTTTCTGAATAATCCCAAACCAACATCCGAGGAGATCTTGATTCTTGGGCAATCTCTGGGTATGGAAAAGGAGGTGGTGCGAGTCTGGTTCTGTAACAGACGTCAGAAAGAAAAACGCATCAACCCACCACATTCGCCATTTAGTCACGGTAGTCAGCCGCTACTATCCCCTGGATTGCCAGCAACATCCTTAATCAGTCCCCAGTCCACGTTGTTAACAAATACAGTAGGAGGGGGCCAGATAGCAACCTCACTTCCAACCTCAAACACCATTCCAGGACTTACACCGATTGCAACGTCGTCTGTCCAACCACAAGTGTTACCGTCAGGCTTCATGCTTAATGTGCCACTCAACTTTGCGGTGAATCCCGTCTGTTCTACCTCAGCGAACACTAACACAGCCATGAGTTTGGCCGCTGCAAATGCAGTAGCAAACGCTGCCGGACTTACGCTCACACCGAGTAATCTACCGCTCTCATTGACCACATCACTAGCCAATGGCAATCCCCAAATGGTAGTAGCAAATTCGCAAAGTAACACCAATACCATTCAGTCAGGTTCTAATCCAGTATCGCAGATACCGACACAGGTAATCGTGTCTCAGCCCATTTCACAAACAGTCACATCAGCAATACAGGTATCAACAGCGAGTAAATAAACGGTTTTTACAAGCAGTATCGAAATGCTATTGCTATACATTTCTTTTTGGTATAAGTAAATTGCGTGGAAGCAATAAACAAAAAAACGATTACAGCACTGAATTATGTCAGTGTGTGTTGAGGTGAGTATCGCTGACAGGGACTGTTACTAGTTGAACCTTGAACTTATGAGTGTGCTTATCTAGCATTACAAACTGTATTATAGAACACCAATACTGACAAACCCCTCCCCGCCCCCAAGATCACCCAGCCTCTTGAAATTATTACTTTCTGCTCTGTTTTTATTTGTTATTTGAATACCATATTTTAAAGAGGTGACCCATCCAGCAGGACATTTGAATCTACAGTATTTCTATATTGATTGCTGACTTATGATTTTAAAGATCATGTTTTAACAATGACTGATTTTGGTATGAAACTGCCTTTAATGTATGAATATGAGTAACATCAACAATCATAAGATTCAAAGAACTTACATCAGTATTCTCAGTAAGTATCAGTATTCTTTCTATAAGTGTCTTTGTTATTAATTCTGATATAAGTTAAACTTGTATCAGAATGAATGCAAAATGTGATGCTCAAATATTGTTTCTGTATGGTTAAAAACAAGTAATGCCAGAAGACTCAATCATGTTTACATAATACAAAATCTTTTCAAGATTATAAAATTGATTAAAATTTCTGTCAATCATTATCCAATAAGTTTATTATTTTTTAGATATCTGTAAATATATTGCGTGTTTGTATTTTAACGTAGGGCTATTTATAAAAGGATGAAGACATTTCCTTTGTTACTAACTTATTTTAGACCGCTCAAAATATATCATAAACTTAGACTTTAGTGCAGTTAGGAATAATGTTAATTTAATTGAGCATTTCACAGTATGTTTTATTATTTTTTGCCAAATATAATTCTTTGAGATTTTCTTTTAAAAAAGTATTCTTAGTGACAGATGTTAAAGGGTGAGAGTCTGGTAAAAATAAGCATCACTTTTTTTAGCCTCTCTAGACTAGCAAATTTTTTTGTTTGACACAAACATATATCATGCCTAAATATGGTCATGATGACATCACAACATGACCATATATAGGCACATCATGACCATATATAGGCACATCATGACCATATATGGGCATACAACAGGTTTTTGATAGTCTAGTGCCTGCCTCACAAATGGAGTCAGCTCAGCTCTAAATAATAAACAATAATTAACCTCTGTCTAAACGATCAACTTTTATGTGATAAATTTTATTGATTTACCCATATATGGGCATAATTATGTTATATGATAACCATATATGGGCATGATGATGACATATACTTAAATATGGACAAATCACTGGTATTTGTCACATAAATCTTGATATTGTGAACAACGCTTTCTTCCTCATATAAAAGTTTGTACCTAGTCTGCATTGCCAAAAGCACATCCTTATGCAGTATTTTTGCACTAGAGCACATTACAATTGTTGACCTAGAAAATGCAATTTTAATTGGTTAATTGACTGATTTCATCTAGGCTCTTTAGTCAAGTATGTGCATGTTGCATAATTGACTTGAAAAATGTTCTCACTACCTCCCGAGGCAAAATATGCACAGAAAATAACGCGAACATTAACAGATTTTCTGGTATTATAGCCTGCTTCTCTAACTATGGGTCGTGACCCAAAATTGGGTCGCCAAATAAATTAGAGGTTTGCAAGACTCTTTAGGGTTTTTTTGACATTTAAGTTTATATCCTGCTACAATTTGCCGTAGTAAAAATAGTGCATTTTAAGTATCATTTAAAAATTTAAAGAAAAGTTTTGTTTACAAATTTTAGCCGGGCAGTAGGTCGCAGCAAACATCATGCCTGGTTATTTTTGGGGTCGTCAGCCAAAAAGTTTGAGAACTGCTGGTATAAGCTGAATTTATGCTTGTGTAGCAGGCTTTAGATCAAACAATGCTTACAGAAGGTGTTCACTCTACTGATTATTGGAGGCTGATAATTGTTTTAATGAAATAAATAACGATGATTCAACGTAATTGGTGATGATGGTATGGTTTGTATTAAATTGGATGTTGATAACAATGGTGCTGATGATGATAATGAAATGATTGAGGATGATTATGTAGATAACCATAGATTATCTTGATAATGGTGGTAGTTATGATATTGATAATGCTGATTTTGATTAAGACAATTATACAGTTTTTGATAATAATGTTGATGATGCCAATTCTTGTAAAGCTCATAATGTGTCTTTAATTGTTCTAAAAATCTCATAAATTGTAATTTCATTTCTTAAATTGTGTGTTAAAAGTATTAGATTGGCATTGAAAATGGAAATAACTTATTTAAAAAAATACATTTTAATTCAAACCATCTCATGTATGAGTTAGATTCATTATATAAAATTTCCATATACAGGTAATGTTAAACAAAAATTTGAAGTAAGATGTTTCAAATTTCAATACAAACCGAGTCAAACGGTGAAAGAAATACCGACCACCAGGCGTCCGATCATGTGACTAAACCCTGTACAGGTGTCTGATCATGTGTCATAAATGCCCAAATATTGACCAGTTGGGTGGTTGCCCAGGTAAAAAAAAAGTTGCCCAAATTAGATCTTGAAATTTTGAAGACAGTATTATCAACAAATACTATTTGTTATTTTTGTATACCTAGTTCTGCAATCAAGTTAAATGCAGCACCATTTAAAGAATGTAATAGAGTTTTTAAATACTATATTTTATTGCAGGCAGAGCATAGAATTCATGTCATTCTTAGTTGATTTACACATTTCCCTTTATATTAGCAGGCAGCAATAAGAAATGTTTTTTTGCCATTGTAACGCACATTTAATTTAAGACACTAGCAATCTTCCTTACTGCCTTGTGTAAACCAAGGTGAATTTTCCAAACCTGCCTAAATGAAAGTCATACACCAAATAGTACAATGTTAATTGCATCGCACACTCTTGGTATTAAGCATAATATAAACTGATGAATTAAATTATACCATGACAATATGTAAGCAAAACTTTTATCTCACAAATTCTTAATAATTTCATATAATTTATTCAGAATTGTTTCATTTTTGTTGTCTTAAATTGAACATTCCAGAAAATTAGAAATAAAAATAATTATACTGTATGTTAATTTTGGAATGTAAGGGATGTTGTTTATGTAACGGGCCATTGTACAAGTAAGTTTGTAATGTTTTTATTCCTATTTTATTTTATGTGGTTAGGCCCAACATTCTGTTCTAAAAGATGCAGAAATCTAAGGACCCACCATAAATGGTGTTTATGAATTTAAAGTAATAAAAAGGAATTTTCTATTATAGCACCAACATTATTGTTTCAATTTTTAGTTAAGGTATATCTCCATTGATTTGAATATGAATGTCCAACATTTAGTTCTTAGTTTTGTTTCATTGAAATTAAGAGTGATTTTAAGAAATGCATACATGTTTTGTAGTCCCTAACAATGTTAGGCAAACTTGAACAGAATGTTTCCAACCATCTTAACGTGATTGATTGTGATGTCGCTGATGAAATCTGGTGGTGTTTTTCATGCATAAATTTTACTACAAATTGTGAAACAATTTTAGAAATGTTGTGGAATTAACTCTTTGCTGTTTAAGACAGAACACACAGAAATATTTCCACAACCTTAAGAAATTGCATCAAAGTATCCACTTAAATGCTAACAGGGTTTTCCAGCATTGCTCTTTGCCCGGTGGCTTGTGTTGATATTTGTCCCTGTATGTATATATTAATTCCACGTGTTCCTCTTATTGAAATAATGCAATTCTTATACTGAATTTCTCATCTTAGCTTTCATTTTAGAAAGATTTCTGATGGGATTTTAAATTCCATAGCTAATTTGTTTACAAATTCATCTTTTTATTTACTGTGTAATATTACGTTTTTTTTAAAAAAGATTTAGTACAATGTTAATTATGCTCCTTTTTAAAGAATTAAAGATCCTGGAAGTTTTGTACATCTTTTGTGCCAGTAATTTTTTGTCACAGGTATTTGTGCAAGTGGAATGGTTGGATCCAGGTGTAAATAGGGCGTCTATACACTACCTTCTCTTACTCAAAAATTATGGTTGTCCCCATTTTTTTATTGGATTGGATTATTCAGCAGTGCACCGGGAGACAATCCCCTACTCTTTTCCAAAGAATGTCAGTGGCAGATCCAGGAATTTGAAATAGAGGGGGGCCGGAGAGGGACTTTCACAGGTGGAGGGTCTATACTACCTCATTCCAACATGGTTGGGGCTGAGATAAGTAAATTTGATTGTGGCACCTCTAGATGGCCAGAAATGGCACTCCTAGAAAATTTTAGTTGAATTTTCTTTTTTAATTTTGACAAATTTAGGGGGACCCGGTCCGGCTGGGACCCCCATTTAATCATGGGACCAACAACATCTCATCCGAAAGACGATGCGCTATCGTAAGCTGAAACCAAGGAGAGCAGCAATGGGAATTGAACAGGGACCATGAGATGTCCATGGTTCAGCGCACACACAGTGGCTACCACCACTTTAGCCAACTGAGCTAAAATGCTCTCTAAATTACTTTTATTGCAGAGTATTTTGAAAGAGACTCATTCAAACAAAATCATAGCAAACGAACTTGCTTTTAATTAACCATTCATATTTTATTCAGTTAATGAAGACATTAAAAACCATAAAAAAGGCAATACAAATACAAACAAAAAATTACTAGCCCTGTCTATCCTTACTTCTAGGTTGATTCTAGGTTAAAATAATAGAATTTAGGCTTAGCCAACCCAATGGTTAAAAATATTATAAAAAATTGAGTGTAAATACAGTATTCTTCTAGCATCAAATATTTCTAATTTAAGCTATTAGAGGTAATGTGTAAGAATTTCGCCTTCAAGGAACATAGACCTCTATGTGGAGATTCCCATAGCTATAATAGCAGCCCTACTCAATATTGATCATAATACAGTAGAATTCCCCTTGGAGACACTTTTTCGACCATGAAACGAAGGGAAGTACAGTATATCTTAACACTAGGGCCAACCTCTATTAATTGAACACATTTTTCGGTTCCCAACGGTTCTACTGAATATGAATATACCGAGTATGGTTGTATTTATTTTTGTCTCTTGTTACTAATGAGATCATCTATAAAAGTAGAAAGAAATATTGCTATACTTTATTAGATTTTTCCCATAATCATGATTAATAATTCAATTAAATACATTTTTAATATATAGTAAAACACAATATATTCAAAATATATCAAATTCACACAAAACACCTTAAATCTTTTCAAAATATATTATTATAGTATTTTATGTAAGGTTTGTTACAAAAACTTCTTGTGCATTCACTGACTTGTAGCAGTTATTTCAACTGCAACTTGAGGCCACTGGGGCATTTCAACCACCACCTCAACTGCCTGTTCCGGGTTCTGAGAAACATCCGATTGGCTAGTTGAAGCATTTGTTTGTTCTGCGTTTCCTCTCTCCATTATAAGCTGTTCCGTGAGCTCAACACTTTCATAGCGCACTGTCTGTAACCTATATAACCCATCGTCGTAGCATTTGTACCTGAATGATAATAGTATAATAGTTGAATTATGCATCACATTAGGGAGATTTTGCAACCTTATGGAAACGATAACGAACACGTCACTATAATTATCGTCATTCATGCTTAAAACATTAACATATTTCAATATATTGTATGAGCTGAATATGATCCCTGATTCATGCAAAAGGCATGAATCATCTATGTTATGACAAAACCATATTTGTTATCGTAAGCTTGTTTTCATAGGCTTTCGTCATACTAAACCATATACTGTACTGCATAGGAAGATAAACAGAGGGCACTAAAATAATTCTAGTAAACCGAAACTCACCTGAATCTACTGTGACCTGCTGGCCACTTGAGTTTGTGTATGCCCTTGAGATGCTTGGTCAAACTAAATCCTCGCGTGAATTTTTTATCACAAAGATGACAGCTATAACATGCCTTCCCTTGAAACTGAAAACAAAAATAATAAAATCTAACAATCCTTTAATTAACATGTTTGCTGCCAGCATGTGTTGCTGAGGGCAATAGGGACGACTATACTCATCAAAACCGGGGTAACATTTTAGTGTCTATTACTAATAGTTTGGGCAAGATACACCTAGACGATAACGTACAAATAATATATGTATGTTTGTTGTGTTTTGTTGCCAGCAGTACACTCGATTGCATGAGGGGGTGGGGGGGCGCCCTCTGAACATATACCAACCTATGCAAAAAACGAATGAGAAAACTCGCACTTGGCAGAGGCAATAAAAAGTACTATCCCATTGCTGGCGACAAGTTTACTCCTCCCCTGATATTTTCCCGCCAATTTATTAGACGCACGATTTTGATGATATATGACTAGTTAAATTTCAAAAAAGTATGTTTGTACATGTAAACTTGTTTTAGAACATGGGAAGGAACCTGAAAAAAAAGGTCTGGCAGTCAACGTATCATGATGCTGTATAACAGACACACAAATACAGTACTACAATTCACATATTATTTACAAAGACCCTTGAAATGGCTAGCAATAACTTTTAAAAATTTAACAAAATAGAATAAATAAATAAAAATAAATTAGTTTAACAAAACATTAAAGCTAAAGAAGTAACTTCAAGTAAAAAAAAAAAAGGCAAAATGCCAACCCAGGTCAAAAATAGGCTCCTGACAGGAGCATGATTAAATTTATTATACTGTAGAAGCTAGGTCAAAATTACTCAATATCTGACCTGATTGGACAACTGCTGTCAGCCTTCCACATCACACATTCCATTTTACAGGGGAATGTCAGTGCCACAGCATAGAATATATTTGCGCAAATGCAGAATATTAAAAAATGAGTCTTACTTTGTGATAAATATTAAAGTGGCATTGTAGATTGCTTAGAGTTGTGCTCCTAAATTTACAATTTTCGAAACAGCACTCGTAAATTTGCTGCTGGTTGTGGCAATCCAAATGACCTCGCAGTCCACTTAAACTCTTGAATCTGAAAGGTAACAGAAATGGATTAACTACTACATATTTTTTTTTACTAAACAGAGATATATTTTTTAACACAAATTTTGGAGCTATAGCTTGTTGGTTGACATGCTTGCCTCACAATCCAAGGTTCCTGGGTTCAAAGCCTGATAATCCTGCCACTTACTGCACACAGCGGTAATTGGCAGATGTGATTCTATAAAGAACGCAACGACACAACGCAAGTGCAATGGATCATTTTTAATGACGATCTGTTCACACTGCCGCTCACAATCACAGGGAGGGGAGTTCGGATTCGTCGATTCAACAGTCGTACCAGGAATATTTCTCATTACTAATAACAACTACATAATATATGCTTTATTCATTTTTTGCATCAAATTTAATAACTGAGTTAACAAAGCACATAATCCCATCCTAGTGGGTTTGAAAACAATGAACGAAAAACCTAAAATACACAAAAGACTTACGAACGATCACAGTATTGGCAAGCAAAGGGCCTTTCATTCGAATGTCTCCATCGGATATGCTTCTGAATTCCAGATGGGGCTGGACATGTCATCTCACAATGCGGGCATTTGTAATTATTTACTAAAACAACAACCAATACATAATTTTTTATTTATACTTCAATATTCAAAGTCATCATTTACATATTCATTCAATGTTGTTATTATATGAGGACGAGTTACATGATACTTGTGTGCGGTTCGTTCAATGGTTGAAATTTTTCGTGGATTATCCTTGGTGTGCATCACACCGAAGAAATCTAAATTGGTACCTGGTTGTGTTGCATGCAACTACTCTGAATATCACAGCAACAATACAACCTTGTGTTCTTAAGCATGTTGACCAAATGACCAGGGGTAACAAGAAAAGATGGCTGATTGTGAGACAACACTATCCTAGGTGGTCCATGTCCGCACCCTCTAAATCTGCCCCTGGGTAACAAGGTACATTAGAAATGTATAAATTAGTTATTAATTAAAACTGTGTAGACCAACTTACCATGCGACCTGATGTGGTCCCTGAGTAGTCTTTCTGTTGCATAAATCTTTGAACAATGTGAACACTGGAACTTTTGTTCTATACAAAAAAGTATAATATGACATAAGAGAGGAAATTGGTCACTTTTTTTATTGTTGAAAGCTCACATTTCGAACTTTAATTATAAAACTTGAAAAATTAACCATATATTTTATCCCGGTTTTATTTATTTTACTAAGCAAAATACATGGGGTGAGTCATGGTTGTTAGGCCTTAGCATAAAACAAATCAACAAAATTAAATTTGCTGACCAACCAATCCAAGTATTCAAAAATATCTTTATGCCAATCCATAATTTGAACTGTACAACAGCATATAAGCTTATGTCGACTGACCTTAGATACGGGCATGCACAGTTCTATGAATTATCTTATACAACAATAATTCTTTGGCCTTATTAGTCAATTTAAGGATCTATGCAAAGAATATAGGTATACATCTGCCAACTCTCACGCATAATGAGCAAGTCTCAAGCATGAGCATCCACTTTTCATGTCTACGTTGTATTATCTCACGCATCATACAAGGCCATATAAATTTATTTTACAAAGGTTTACCGACCAACTGTAATCAGTAGCAGTTCGATCACTCCAATATAAAAAACATACCATGGAGGGCCCTTTATTTTGTGATTTTTACATAGAGGGCTCTATATACAATAGTTTTTTTTGTCTCGCGCATCGGACGTAAGCAAAGTTGACAGGTGCAGTATTATTTAAGCATTTCTGTAAAGTGGTGGGGGAAATAATTTCTTGTTACAATTTTGAATTGAAATATAGTAACCTTCTTGAAAATATTATAAGTTAATAAGCAAGCAAGCAATAAAATATTGAATTTTATTGTTTAAATTTGTTTGGTCAACTCAGATTTTTAAGTGTATTAATAAATTGATTACTTACGGTCCAGAGCTATCTGGCGGTGTATATGATCAAAAAACTTGCTACGATTGGCAAATAACGAACCACACACTACACATGCATATTGTTTGGCCTGGGTGTGGGTGCGTATATGGTCTTGCAATTTAAAATTGTTTTTAGTAATAGATGTACAACCTGGAAAATGAAGAAAAAAGTAGTAAATAATCATTCCATAAGAACTAAAATTTTAGTATCAGTATTCTTAATAATAAGGCCGTTTAAATGTATGATGATCAGAAATTTAAAAAAAAATACATATCTTACTTTGCCACTCGCAACGATGAATTATCTTGCCATCTTCAACTTCTCCAACACTTTCTATTCCATGATCCTCGGCATGGTAGTGGAAAGCCTCTGGATTGTCTGTCACAAACTAACACAGCATACATATAAAGAGATATAACTTTTTTATTACCATAACTATGTAGTAAATAAAAAATAATGGTCAACACCAATGGAAAAAATTTTGTCTGAGCAAATTTTTATTTACAAATATTCTATGGATTTGACAGTAAAAATAAGTCCGAGTCTAGGGGCTCATAAAATCACAGGGCTGTAGCGTGAAGTGGTTGAGAGTGTGATGCTCCCCCTGGGGTGGGACGCCATTCCACCGCAGGTTACTCCCAGCAATTTGCTGGTATCAATTGATACAACTGGGTAGATAAAGTGCCTTGCGTAAGGACACAAGCAAAATGCACAACGAAGGATTGAAACCCCAACCTTCAGGTTGGGAAACCAAACTATTTCCACTGCACCACACTGCATTTATTTGTGATAGTACTGTATCTGTAAATAAAATCAGGACAATTACAACTTTCTACTATTCTGTACTTACTTCACATCCTTGCCATCCACACTGAAAGCTCTGTGGCAATTCCGGGATCAGATTTCCCCCTTGGGCATCGAGTTGGCATAATGCCTTTCCCATCTTCACTCTTTCCTGATGTCCCCACCATTTTAATTTTGTATGATATGCATGAAAGTAAAGATGTCGGAGAAGGGAAATGGGCCCATTTGTAATATAGCCGCAATTTCTCCAAAGACAGTGGTACTCTACGGTCCCTAAAAGAATGAAAAGCAACCTTCAGATAAATACAAGATGATCTTACACTCTGTCACTAAGCTAAACAATAAGTTGGGAAGATCATTATTTTGTAATTTTCATAAAAGTATACTGCTCTACAGGTTCTGTTAATCTCTCCCTCTTGCTTTATTTTTTGAAAATGATGAAAAAAACGGATCACTCTTGTTGATGCAAAAAAAATGTAAAAACGAGAGACAAAAATCACCTTCAATAACAATATTGAAGTCCATGTAATTGTCCGGTGTTATTCCTTTGGGAAGGAACTCTAGCATGTGTGATTTAATGTGCAGCAAATAAAATGGCATATCCTCAAAGACTTCCTTAGTGGAGCACCATTCACAGTGTAGCTCCATTGGCTTCTTTTTCAGGTTACGTGGCATGCCTACTCTCTCTGAAATGAAAATTTCATAAAACAGATTACAACATAAAATCAAACTGCTTTGATGGAGGCCTAGATAAAGCTACCTTCCTATATATATCACAAACGCCTTAGTATCTACAGGCAGATAGGCCTCTAGATAAAGCTAGCCTAGGCCCGTAATCTAGGCTAGAGTAGTAGGCGTTGTTCTCTAGCTAGTCTGGCTGGTGGCGGCGGAGTACTTCAGTCTTCACTACTAGGCCTAGTAGTACTAAACTCTATCAATCAGATATTGGCGGCCTAGCCTAATAAAACTAATCTGCTGAAATGAAGTGGGGATTATTTGGAAGTTTCAGAAAATAATACAAGGCAAAAATAAAGCGGCACTTTCATAAACTAGTGTGATGTAATATGAAAGGGACTAGCGAAGCTGTACCTGTAAGTAATGTTTTTACTAGAAATAGTAGCCCCAAATGACGCAAATCCTTAATGCAACTCTTATGTTTACGTATAGAGAAGGTAGGCTGCTGGTGTTTTTAAAGATGACCTAGTGGCGCGCCACCATATTTTGCCAGAGAGTACATCAAAATAGGATTCATAAATGGATACTTCCAATAAAATAATTAGCTAGTCTTCTTTTATTCTTATAAATATAGATAACTTTAATTAAAAGTTAGAAATATATTGAAAAGTCGTTTTTATACTTAAATACAGTACACATTGATACAACTATCAAGTTAGATATTTTCTTATTGAATAGAAATTTAGCTCCTCGGTTTAAGCATGCATGGCAATTATTTTTTCCACGTGATATCTTACACGCATGCGCTCAAGCCTCTTGCAATCGCCTAATAAGCACGATGGTTTGTTGAAATGTTGCTCATAATTTATCTTACCATATACATATTTAGACTGGCTTTATTTTAACAATAATTATGTCACAGATGATTATAATTTATATAGGCCTATACCACTTAATATATAATTATATTAATCTCAATAAGGGTGAAAATTGTACATAAAGCAAAGCCTTCTTCGGCACCGTTTTATTTACCATGCATGACAATCGCCTACCACCACGGTTTGCGGTAGGGTGTGTATGTACAGTCGAGTGCTAGGCTAGGTATGTTTGGGCCTAGTCAAGTTAGGATGATAAGGCTGCAACAACCCCACACTATGAATGAAATGTTTATTTGATCTTCGAATATAGAACAAAGTTGTTGAATTATTTTAGAGTTTGCTCGTTAAAAATGTTTGCATCCTATCCAAATAAGCCAGCTGTGTCAGTGAGTGTGTATAGATAGGCAGGCCTAGGCTAGCCTAAATATAGTATAGGCTTGCCTGTCCCTAGCTTTCTGTGCAAGTTTTGCAGGAATTATCCAGGCTATAAAATAATAAGGGATAATAATAAGGAAAATTAACCTGGCTGTAAAATAATAAGGGCCGATTTCCTCGCATATTTTGCCAAAAATTAGTCTGACCTTGACGTAATCTTAAAATATTCACCGTGGCTAGAGATACGGTACCGTATCGGAACTTCCGATTGCTAAAGGTACGGTAAATGATATTACGTCATGATTAGCCAATAGAAACGCCGATACATGCGCTTCGTCATTCAGTGCACAGCTGCTGCAAGAGTAGTGAGTGTGTGTTTTAGATGGTTTTATTTTAGCAACGATCGAAGATAAGAAATTTCGTTCGTTCGCAGGTGTTGTTGAAGTATTATTCGTACAATTACTTCACAGTATGGTACGATTCTGCACACCCTATTTATTTCCCTATGATTTTACATGCAAAGTTGAGTTAATTTAGATTATAAATTGTGTATTTTCTTTTAATTTAGCCGCCCAAGCAGCAGCAAAAGGGAGGCACTTCGAAGAAGTCTGACAAGCCCAAGAGTTCTGGTGGAAAAGCCAAGAAAAAGGTAAGCATTCAATATCCTCAAGTCATCCAAACTTTTGTAATATGTTTTCTTTTCTTGCTATAAAACATCAATTTTACGTATCCCTCTTTGGTACCCAGCAGCATTCATTAATTGAACAATTATAGTAAATTAGATCTGGTGTCAATTTCCTCTGGTTAGCTGATTGGCCAATCACTGCTGTTAGGCTGACGGTAGCTAGGTAAGTTAGAGTTCAGACATGAATCGATGACGGGAGCGCATTAGTGTGCCTAGCTAAATTTACCTGTGATAAAAACCAAAGAATTGAAATTGCTAACATTCTGCAATATTGTTTAATTATTATGTAAAACATATGTTTTGTAGACATTTCTATCGTGTTTCTAGTTTTAGGTCGCTGATTTGTGTTTACCTGTTCAAAAAAAATATCTCATCAGGATTCAATCCTTAGATGCTGTAGATTACAGTTAGGTTACTCTACCAACTAAGCTAGATATTTGTTTGGGATTTAATACTCAGGTATTGAATTTTGCAATTAGTAGGTAATATCTTAAACTTACTCACTATATAGTGTATGTAAAGTTAATATTTTCTCCCCCAAGAACTGCTGATTACCATTTTGTTGGTTTTGTTTCCCTCCTGTAGAAGTGGTCAAAGGGAAAGGTCAGAGATAAGCTCAACAATCTTGTATTATTTGACAAGGCTACGTACGATAAGTTCTACAAAGAGGTACCAAGCTACAAACTCATCACCCCCTCTGTGGTATCTGAGAGATTGAAGATCCGGGGTTCCCTAGCCAGAAAAGCTCTTGAAGAAATGCTCAGAAAAGGTTGGTGTCATCATTTCCTTTAATCTAAGTACTGTATACCTGTATAGTTTTTAATGTTTTTGAATATATTGTGTTGGAAATAAATTTGCTTTATTTTGACAGTACTTCAGAAGTTAAAAATGTATAAAAAAAAATTTACTGACTGGTGACTGGGTAAAACTGAAAGTACCTGTACTGAGTACCGGTACTATTTTATTTACTTTTAATTATAAGAACATCAGTACGGTGTATTACTGGTACTATTATATATATACAGGGATGTCACCACGCTGGTCGGCGGTGGACGGGCCCGTCCAGCACTCAACATTTCCGACCAGGATTTACAGGATCCCGACCACCACTATTATTTCAACAGTTTACAAATTGTAACAAAATAATTTACCTACACACAATAGACAAGCTAAATTGATAGATAAAGACAATAAGAATACAATAAATGTTTCTGTGGTTACATTAATTGTAACAAAATACTGCACTGCCCTGGTATTCATCGCTAACTTAAAAGCCTAGGCCCAGTTGAGTCATAGCAAACATCGTGGGCTGGCATGACACGGTTGCTCTGTACACATTCAAAGGTTAAAGTTGAAATCGTGACCGTTCAAGTGTTTTATTATGAGATCATGGTCTGGGGCAGGAAGATTATTAAAAATTTACGAAACATGATTTATGTTTTATTTCTTTACTTTGTTTTTATTTTGTATTTTAAGTTTTTCACTTTTAATTATAAGTGATATATAATGTGTGTAAATAAGACAAAAAATAAATAAATTAGTGCACATGAATCAGTGACATACACATTCGTCGTGGTAATCGTCAAACATGTGAAATTACGGCAAACAATGCGGCTGGGTACAGTCGGATCGACGTTTTGTCGCCAGGATTTGTTCATTATTATTTTTTAATCTAAAACAAAGCATGTCAACTATTGAATTTAATTAGGCCTACAGTAAGTCTCATCTTCATCTGTTTTGTTGTATTCCTCAAATTCTGGCCTAGGCCTACCTGGGCCTGGCCTACCTGGGTGGGCCTAGCCAAAAAAAATCGCGTCAGCTAGCCTTGGGCCTAGGCCTGCTCGACTTACTTAGGCCTTTTGGTTTTTAAGAGCTTTCACGAATACGGTGACCCCCCGCCCCCGGGAAAACGGGGGGGGGGGCTTTGGCACCCCCGCCCCCGGGAAAACGCGGAATGATCGCCGACCGGCAATTCAAAAAGCTGGTGACATCCCTGTATATATATATATTATTTACATTTAATTGTAAAAAACATTAGTACTGTATAGAGTTAAACCAAGCCTAAGTCGAATAATTTCTAAGTCGAACTTATTTTACATGCCAAATTGTTGTGTTTTCCCTTAATTAACAATCTGTAAGTCAAATTTTATCTAAGTTGAACAATTTTTCAATGGCATTTTGGATTTGACTTAGGCAAGTTCAACTGTACAGTACTGTAATAATTGTAACCAGATTTAGATGAGGTAACACATATACCATATATTGTTTGCATGGAAGTTGGGCTGGTAATCCAATATCCGGGATTATTAAGGAGCAACCTGATGATGGCGTAGCCGTGTGCCGGTACATTAACGGTGTCTTTTATGACAGCAAGCTCAGGTGGAGTCTGACGCACATTTGCTGCAGAGTAGTAAACATTTCAACAATTACTTCAATAGTTCAAGGTTGAATTAAATAATACAGTATAAATATTTGAGAAACAAGAAATACATGTATTTTTAAGTGTTTCAAAGTCGATCTCAAATAGTTTCATCTGGTTTCTGAATGTATGAACACGGCATTTTCAATGTTCTTGTTTCAAAGGCGATTATAGATAAAGTAGTAGTATCGGCACCGTGCGAGCATCTTATTGTCATAGAAACGTGCGTCATACAAACATTTCCTATTGATTGATTCTTAAATTCGTGGTCATTACAAAATCTTGCTTCAGCAAAGTGGAAAAAACAAAATATGTATATTAAATATTACCTAGTTTATCGCTTGTCCAGTGAGTGATATCTTCGACGGAATCCAAAGCAAGAATTCTGAATGAATTACCGTGGAGATGCATTGAGTGACTCACAGAATCTTTGTTGATGACAAAAAAATCAACAATCTACAACAAAGAATACGATATCATACTACAATATATTACTTTGTCATTCACCTCATCATTGTAGAATGGAAATTTCGATGATAGAAGTACTTACAAAATTCACAAATTACAGAAAATATTAATTGCGTGCAAAAGAACTGGTGTACCTATATTGAGTTGCGTCTTCGGAATCATTTGCTTCGTTTGAATGAGAAGAGAATATAAATGTGTCACGTCTTACAAAAATGATGACGAATGCTATTACGTCATGAATTCATTTTGTAGCCGATCCTAAATCAATATGTTTTTCGAATAAGTAATTTTTAGTATCTACTCTACAGTATGGATTTGTTACCCATTTGAAAACCGGATGAGCAACCTATTTTTTACACAGTCGCAGATTTCTCTTCCTTAAAAAAAAATAAACCTATATTACTGTAGTAGTTCTTTATTCCCACTCTCATAAAGCAGAGGCCAACCGGTTCTGGAAACATTAAAAACATGCAAAATCAACAGTTTTAAAAAATTAGTTCTCTATAGTGTGCACTTTAAAGAACCCATTGCATCTTTTGGAAGAGTAGGGGGTTATGTTGTGGAATGATGTCAATGCAGTTACCTTCAATAACCACCTCTATCATACTGTAACCATAGGCCTTTAATTCACCCTTGTTTACGTTGTTCCTTTTGTTTTGAATTTGATTTAATTTCTTTACTTTTTTCGTATGGATGCACCATCAGGTATTGTCTGATGTGTGCCATTGATGCAAAAGTGAATCCAATAAATATATTTTTATTATGAAGCCAGAAGTGCCTGTCTACGGCGGCTGAGGAAGTTACGGACCACGTCCATATGCAATTCAGCACAATGACATTCTCCTACCATTATTACCTTTACCTTTAAAAATATATTGCTTATTAAACACGACAGACTGAAATATAAAGAGAATTTCGTTAGCAAATTTAGCTACCCTATAACAGTGGTAACAGTATAGTATCATAGGAAATAACATTTTAATCTGCGTCACATTACCTGTCCTTGTTTCAGTTTCAATACGTTGGTGCAGCGGCATTCATTGCTACTACATGAGGCATAACCCAACATATTTCCATTCGGGCTACACGTTTCGAAACTCCTTAGGTTTGGGGTCAGAAACGGTGATGATGGATATGAAAATACAACGTTATCAATTTGGTAGCTGGGTATTCTACCGTCTGTAGATATCCTGCCATCGTTTGATACTATTGGCGAATGGTGCGAAGTTAACGAGATAACGTATTTTTCATCGGAAATGCTCATTTGAGGATCTAGAGGTTCTTTAGAGAAAACAAACAGAATGGTTAATTGTGAAACATACTCGGAATTAGCACTTTTTTTTTCTAGAACGCTATGATCAACGTTCATCTTGAAAGTCGTCGCCGACACAGTGTTTACCATCATAACTCTCGCAACAATTTCTGCATTCAAGGACGCAGATCTGTTTTGAAAGATGGGGTAGGGGGTACATTAGTGAGTCGACACCCACCATGGTTGGGGCTGAGGTTCGAAAATTTGAGGAAAAGTCGAAAGGTAAGCGACCAACCCCTTAAAATGTGTCTTCAGTGCGTAACAATATATTGTACTGTTGTAGAAGTGACCCCAATATTTTATCTTAGCTAATTTAGCCTTATATCACATGCCAGTTACTAAGGGCTGTGAACAAAATGACAAATAAGAAGAAATATTTTGCAAAAGCTACGGTACACTGATTACGTCATACCATGGAGGAATTACTTTTCCTCCATAGTCATATATTTTAGATTTTTGGAGCCGATTTTCCAACTCTAACTTAAAAGTAAAAAACATGATTAGATTAGTTTGAAATTTAATCTCATAAATAAACACAAAAAACCATCTAGTAGCTTACCATATGTGTGAAATGTGTTTTTTTTTTTTGTTTTTGTTTTTTTTTTTTTTAACTAAAAAGGCACTTTAAAATGTCATAGGAGGGGGTGGTATCCGGAAGTCGCCGACCCCCTCCCCTACCCACTTTCAGGATCCACCCAATCGTTTTGTTGGCACGATTAACGAAAACATAACGCACAGCCTTGGTTGACGATAAAATTTCAAGAGACTGCGCACAAAATGATGCACAACGGATCGTGCGACGATCCGCTCACACGTCACGCGCATATGAAATTGTGTTTGGCTTAGATGTGATGTGATGTAATCGTTTTCTTTTTTGACTAACAATGCAAGATTTCGTAAAATTCACATTAAAATGTCTTACCAAGAGCATGCGTATCGAATAATGAAAATGTCGATTTTATATTCGAACTTTCTGTGCTTGTGCAGATCTTGTTACCAAAAGATTGATTCTTATAAACCAACATAGCCGCTCCATTGTCTGTACAATTACTCGTGTCTGTACCGTAGAAATATATACAGTAAGAGGAGGGATACGCAGTTGCTTTCAGCACAAAATCAACCCTAGGAGTAAATAAAAAACCTTTTTCTATAAACGTAATATTTTATTTATATTACCAATTACCTAACAAACAATAACACAATTGAAATCAAAGATTAATAACAAAGTGCTTTGTTTAAAGTTGTTAAAAAACCCAAACTTGAACAAAAAATTTATATTACCAATTACCTAACAAACAATAACACAATTGAAATCAAAGATTAATAACAAAGTGCTTTGTTTAAAGTTGTTATAAAACCCAAACTTGAACAAAAAAAAAACAAAAAAAATTGTTTATTTAAAAAGGACACAGATCGAAAAAAAAAAAAATCTACGTAAATCTCTAAACTGTCTACCAGTTCATGAAAACAATAAATCATTATTATTCATGCGTTTGTTAACTGATGGTGTAAGCATACCGGTACATATTTGGTAATTCATATACAGATACAGTTATTTGCTGGCAAACTCAGGCCGAATACAGCCCATATTATAGTCGACCGTGTGAAAGGCCTACCTCTATATTATTCAGCCAGTGGCTGCGTTAAGACGAACGTGATTTCAGTGGCGTAACAGAGAGGGCAGGGGTGGCGCCAGGATTTTCCCGACCAGGGGGGTGGGGGGCTGACGTCCCCTACGAAGGGGGAGGTGTGATGTCCCCGACGAAAAAGTGGGCGTGGTCGGGCGTCGCTTAAAGTCTCCCGTAAGTGGCGAAGCCCCCCCAAAAAATATGACAATTTAATGGTTTCAAAGGCTTATTTAATCGATTTTACAGTCTACTGTAGAAAATACATATACATGTTATTTCTCCCCGACGAATTGTGGTTTTATTTTA